TTCCTCATCTCCTTCCTTCCTTCCTTCCTTCCCTCCCTCATATCCTTTCCTTCCTTCCTTCCCTCATCTCCTTCCTTCCTTCCCTCATCTCCTTCCTTCCTTCCCTCATCTCCTTCCTTCCTTCCTCATTTCCTTCCTTCCTTCCCTCTCTCCTCCTCCTCGGAGTGACTGCAAGCCCCGCATCCGCCAGCCAGCCCACCCACCCCCAGCCCGCTTCTCCGGGGCGCCCCCCACCTGCTCGCCGGCAGGGCTCCGCTCGCTCCGCGCCCCGGCCGGGTTCCTCCGCCTGGCGGCTGGGCTTGTAGCCGTAGACCCCGCGCTCGGTGTGGTAGCCCCGGGGCCAGCGGGCCAGCAGCGGCCTCCAGCCGCCCGCAGCAGTCCCGCCGCGCAGCCCGGCCAAGCAGCGCGCAGCAGCCATCGCCTCCAGCCGCTCGCCTGGTCCCGGGCCAAGAGCGGCGGGGCTCCGCCTCCCCCGACAACGCCCCCGGTGCTGATTGGGGCAGCCGGAGAGGAGGGGGGGAGAGGACACGCCCACGGGGGGCGGCGGCTCTGGATGTTACAGGTGGGTGGGCAGCCCCGGTGGATGGAGCCGCCTCTTGTCTGCTGTTGCGAATTGCAAACCGTGCAAAGGCAACATTTGGGTGCACGATAAAGTTTGCAAACAATTTGGATCAACCAGCCTTATCCCACAAGAAATGTTGCCTTTTACGTACAGGTACCCCTTGACCACAAGGGAGCCCAATATTTCTGTTGCTAAGCAAGACAGTTGTTAAATGAACCCCTAATCCTAATTTTAAGAATAGAATAGAATAGGATAGGATAGAATAGAATAGAATAGAATAGAATAGAATAGAATAGAAATTGGAAAATAGATTAGACTAGAATAGAATAGATATTGGAAAATAGAATATAATATAATAGATATTGGAAAATACAATAGAATAGAAGAATAGAATAGAATAGAATAGAATAGAATAGAATAGAATAGAATAGAATAGAATAGAATAGAATAGATATTGGAAAATAGACTAGATAGACTAGACTAGACTAGACTAGACTAGAATAGAATAGATATTGGAAAATAGAATAGAATAGAATAGATATTGGAAAATAGACTAGACTAGACTAGACTAGACTAGACTAGACTAGAATAGAATAGAATAGATATTTGAAAATAGAATACAATAGAATAGATATTGGAAAATAGACTAGACTAGACTAGACTAGAATAGAATAGAATAGATATTGGAAAATAGAATAGAATAGAATAGATATTGGAAAAGAATAGAATAGAATAGAATAGAATAGAATAGAATAGAATAGAATAGAATAGAATAGATATTGGAAAATAGAATAGAATAGAATAGATATTGGAAAATAGAATAGACTAGACTAGACTAAAATAGAATAGAATAGAATAGAATAGATATTGGAAAATAGACTAGACTAGACTAGATATTGGAAAATAGAACAGAACAGAATAGATATTGGAAAATAGAATAGAACAGAACAACTTCATTGTCACTTTATGTGCACACTAATCAGCGTACATTAAAATGAGATTTCATTGTATACAGCTCTCAAAAGGTAACCAGCTCCAATATACACTGCATGAATATAACAAAAATAAATAAATCATGCATATACCCACATACACACACGTGTGGCCCAGAGAAACAACACAGTCTAGGTTGGATGTATAAATATACATGGTGAAAAAAACCAATCTTGCGATTTCGCTAGACGGATGGCCTAGGGCACAAAGCTGTTATAGAATCTGGTAGTTTTGCTAGAAATACTTGGAAACTTCCTCCCACAATGGTATCTCACAACTTGCATCCAGCTCAGCTGGGAAAGAGGGGAGGGTCTGTATCAAAGACACCCCTTGGCTGGGGGTCAACTTCAAGAATCTAGATCAGGGGTAGGCAACCTTGGCTCTTTTATGACTCGTGGACTTCAACTCCCAGAATTCCTGAGCCAGCCACGCTGAGGGAAAAGGGAGAGGTTTCCAAGCTGAGCCATGCTGGCTCAGGAATTCTGGGAGTTGAAGTCCACAAGTCATGAAGGGGCCAAGGCTGCCTACCCCTGGTCTAGATTTTCTTGCTCCAAGCAACACCTTTGCAGTGATGATATCATACAGGTATTCCTCAACTTACAATAGTTCATTTACTGACGGTTCAAAGTTGCAAGGGCACTGGAAAAAGGAGGACTTATGACCGTTTTTCACACTTAACGGCTTTTGTAGCATCCCCGTGATCATGTGATCAAAAGTCAGATGCTTGGCAACTGACTCATACTTATGACCATTGCTGTGTCCTGGGTCACATGATCAACAAATCCTATTGTGTTTTAGTATGAAGTATGATCTTAATCCAGAATTTGCATCAATGGATATGTTTAATGTCATGTTCATGCAAAGATGATCAGGGGACTGGAGGGTAAAACATATAAGGAACGGTTGCTGGAATTGGGTATGTCTAGTCTAATGAAGAGAAGGACCAGGGGGGACATGATAGCAGTCTTCCAATATCTCAGGGGCTGTCCCAAAGAAGAGGGAGTCAAGCTATTCTCCAAAGCACCTGAAGGCAGGACAAGAAGCAACAGATGGAAACTAATCAAGGAGAGAAGCAACCTAGAACTAAGGAGAAACTTCCTGACAGAACAATTAACCAGTGGAACAACCTGCCTCCAGAAGCAGTGAATGCTCCAACACTGGAAGTTTTTAAGAAGAGACTGGACAGCCATTTGTCTGAAATGGTATTCCTGCCTGAGCAGGGGGTTGGACTAGTTGACCTCCAAGGTCCCTTCCAACTTTTTTTTAATAATAATAATAATAATAATAATAATTATTATTATTATTATTATTATTATTATTATTATTATTATTATTATTATTATTATTATTATTATTATTATTATTATTATTATTATTATTATAATATTATTATTATTACTACTACTACTACTACTACTTTTACTACTACTACTACTACTATTACTATGTTATGTCATAGTTTGTATAACTGATCTGTCAAAAGAGTCGGATTTGCTGACTTCAATTAAGATGCCAAGCCTTTATAACTTAAGAGCGCTGTGTGGATGAGGCTTGTAGTTTTACGTATTTACCACTAAATCAAGATTCAGGCGTGAGCTTAAATGGACTCCAGAAGATAGTAGAGGACAGGAAGACCTGGAGGAACGTTGTCCATGGGGTCGCGATGGGTTGGACACGACTTTGCAACTAACAACAACAACAACAAGATTCAGGTGTTGACTTTACCACAGTAGCCAAATTAAGACTGTAGTAGATTGAGCCTCAGAAAAACCAAACTAGGGCTTAACACAGCACACTGTTAATTGAAAAAAAAAACTTTCATTATTTTCTTCATACCCCAAATTAATACATGATTCAGTTTGCATTTCTGATAGGAATACTGTTGAGCAAGAATTGCAAATGACAGTGAGACCACTGTTTTGCTCCTCAAATTGAACACTATAAACAGCTGAGCCCCCTAACTGACAAAATATTTCATTTAATTAAGAGTTTTAAGCCAATGTTCCCAGGGAGTTTTGCACATCAAGTTTCCCAGTTTCTGGAAAAAATACTCCAGCTCCAAACAGTTATATATATCTCGAGCTCTGAAATCTGATTTTGGTTCCAGATGTGGGTGTATTATTGTTTGTCTATGGCCTCACACTTGTTTTTGTTCTTTGCAAGATTATTGCAGTGTAGGTTGTGCATTTGGTTTGTTTTTTTTTAACCTTCTATTTTCTAGTTTTGTACACCATCCAGAATCCATTGGGAATTGGATGGTTTTTAAATTCAAGTAAATAAAATAAACATTAGAAGTAGAGACCTGTCAAAAAAGTAGACTATATCAGAATTACTAAGCCAGTTGCCCTCCGAGACAAGTAAATGTTTATGTGGTAACTACAGCGATACTATATCTTACCTTTAATAACATCAACATTTCTCATTTCTTTCTTCATTGTTTATATTATGGATGTACCAGCCACATGTTTCAAAGGCTTTCTTTCAGCAATGAAAAAATGTATGCTTAAGCACAATTCCAATTGGGTTTCATTAAAACCAAGACAGGGAAGAAACTACAATATATATCGCCTGGTCCTTATCCAGAAGTAGTAGATTTCTCTAAGTCTAATGAAATCTATGAAAATATAAACTTTGATTTGCTTAATACCACTCAGCTCATTCATTCATACATTGGCATAAATGGTTTTGGAACAGTGCAAAGAACTAATCGGGAAAAATCTAATAAAATTATTAGATAGATAGATATTTAGATAGATAAAACTTTTAAGCGCCAGCTTAATGTTAGTTAAGTGTTAATGTTAGTTAAATACTAAATATGCACGTTGTTTGAATCTCTAATTAGGCTTGGGAGTAAATTTTGTTTTAAAGATTTCTTTGACAGGCATAATTAAGCATTAAGGGGGAATATTTTGCACTCCTTTCTCCCTCTCTGAAAGAATTGAGCAGGGATTCAATTCTAACAACTTTTTTCCCCCCGCTTTCTAATATTATTCCCAGACGGGCAGCAAATTCGAAAAAAAATGGCTTTCAAAAGCTGCAGCTTGGCGACTGCGCTCCGCCCACTTCCAGAAGAAAGCCACACCCCCTCGGCCACTTCCGCCTCCCCTGGTAACCAAAGCACGGGGTTGCCCAGCTCTCTCTCCGCCTTCAGGACCCGGGCGAGCGAGGGCTGTCTACGACACTGCCTGACGGGCTTAAGGCCTCGGTCCCTCCCGCCCGCCGCGCGGGAGGCTCCGGTTCCTTTTATCCGAGTGCGGCACGCTACACTTTCCTGACCTCTTTCCCTCTGGAGGGGGAAGGCTCGAGGCGGGGGCTGGAGCAGCCCGGATAGGATCAGGCGTCCCGCGTGGGCAGCCTGGGGGGCGGGGTCCTCGCCCTGGCAGAAAGTGAGGGGGGGGGGAGAGAAGAGCCTGACGGAGCTGGAGCTGCAGAAGCTGGAACCGATGTTTACGGCGGGCCGAGGTAACCGCCCCCTCGGCGTCCTCCGCGCCTTGGCCCCGGTCGGGAGCCCGGCTTGAGGGGAGAGGCTGGGCCGCGGGGGGGGGAGACGGGCCTGGGGAGCAGGCGGTGGGCGGGAGGGCCCGTTTGTC